TTGGGGCTGTAGGAGCAGCTCCTGGGGTGGGGGAGGCATCCCTCGCCCTCCCACGCGTTGCTGGGCTGTCCCGCAGCCTCGCCCCGGGGCCCAGCCCAGATCGTGCTGTTCAAGAAGGGTCAGGGCAGGTATCGGAGAGGAGAAGAGATTTAATCCAGCCCGGGCTTTGAAAAGCTTGGGGCTTGGAGCAGCCAGGCCTAAACGTCAGCCCTTCTCCGCTGTTTCTTGTGTAGCGAATAGTTATCTGCCATTCGAAGTAAAGATTTAAGATCCAGAACGTGGTGTCTGCGTGGGCAGCGTGCTGAGGAGAAGGCCCTTTCTTAGTGCCTAGTTAATTTTGAGGCCTCTGTTGTGCCTGGCTCTTAGGACTTTTCCTACCATGAGGATGTGGGAGAAATTACTACGGCACGTCTGCGTGGCCGTTTACCCAAGTTCAATGGGGCCTCGGCGTTTCTGTACAGGCAGTCAGAGGGCGTGATACAGCGTTTGTGCTGCTTCGTCCTGCTCTGCTGGCAGCAGCGAATTCCCCTCGGAGCCTGCCGGTGCACAGCGAAAGCACCCGGCTTTGTTTTGACTCAGCAACAGAGAGCGTTTTGGCTTGCAGGGCAGTGGTGCTTTTGACTTGGTAAGGAAGGAACCAGGAACCCAGCAGCCCGATTTGTCATGTCGTTGCAGCGCAATAAATAGGCAGGAGGGACTGTCCCCCGCTGAGGATCTGGGGCAGAGTGAGCGCAGTTCCTCCTGGGTGAGCTGGGAGATTGCTAGATCTGTCCTGCCCAGGATCTCGAAATAGTATGAGGCAATAAGAAAAGGGGGTTTTCATGGTGTGAGTTCCAGCTGTTCCTGATTCCCGGGGTGGCGGTGAACCCGAGATCCTGTCCAGGGCAAGGATCTGAACCTCTTTTCTTCTCCGCAGAGCACCTTGAGTGATGCCCAAGAAGTTCCAAGGTGAAAATACCAAGTCGGCTGCTGCCCGCGCGAGGAAAGCTGAGGCAAAGGCAGCAGCCGATGCCAAACGTCAGCAGGAGCTGGAAGATGCCTACTGGAAGGATGAAGACAAACACGTGATGAGGAAGGAACAAAGGAAGGTGAATGGCTAGCCAGGTAGAAGGGTATCTTCTAGCTGGTCCTTTGCTAAGCCCGTGAGATCCAGGCTTGCCCAAAAAGGGTCGCTTTCTCCTCCTCTGTCCCCCAGCTGTAGCTGTCTCTCCACACGTTGTCCTGCGCTTAGTTTTGGGCAGAAGAGCTGGAACTAGTGGCTTCTCTGGGAGCTAAAAGAAGCTGAGTGTGGGAGTAAGTGTAAGCTTTGATGTGTAATTCAGAAATCTGGTGGATCTCAGAGCTGACTTCCCGAGGGAGGCAGTAAAAGCTTTATTGTTGGAATCGTTTAAAATTGAATTAAGTAAGAGATGAGGAACTCTGCTGCAGGGCTTGATTTTTTTTTGACCAAGCATTTCTTTAGTGTTTTTTTTTCCTTTCTTTTTCTTTCTTAACTCTTCTTTGATGTTTTGGTAGAAGGAAAAAGAAATCAGCAGGGTTAAGGGTTACAAAGCTTTTTTTTTTTCCCCTCCCTGACTTGGTGTGCCACACGTCGGGACGTGTCTCTCTCAAAAGATTCTCTCTGGTTTGCTCTTACCAGCTTGCTCCGCCCTGGGTGCACGTTTGCCTTGGTGTTCAGTTAAACAGAGCGCTTTAGTGCTCGTTTCTGGGTTATTTGGGTTGTGATGTTGTCCTGCATCGGCGTTAGACAAATCTGCCTTCTGGTTTTGTGGATTTTTCTAGAAACAATTGTTGGCGATAACTTCGCTGCCTCTTCTGAAATGATTTCTTTACCCTCGTGCTAACCAGACAGGGCTTCTACTGGTGACATAAATGGGATTTATGGGGTTACTGGGTTTGTGCTGCTCTGTGAATTCGGTGCTTACTGAACTTTGTGTGTCGGTACTCGAGCACGCTGGCTGGGCAGGCAGGAAGCCAGCGCGTCCCGGTGACCTTGATAGCCGCGTGCTGTGTACGTCTGCGTGAGTTCACCCCTAATATGTGCCTCGACGTTTGGAATTTGGAGTCCTGTGTGCTGTTCCCCAACACAATCCTGTAATGCTGCCTAATTACTTCCTGGAACAAGGACTTATTATTGCTCTACTTAAAACTTGGCCAACAGTGACCTATTTGACTGGGCTTCCAAAACAGCCTCCTGCAGGCAAGGGGCATGGGAGTCTGGAGAGGGGAGGCTGTGTTGTGAGCTGGAATTGCTAACTGGAAAACCAGGGTCCGTCCCAGAGCCTCAGACTGGGTTTTAGAGAAACAAGCGAGGCTGCTTCCACTCAGCACCTCAGCCATCCCCTCTCCCTGCATCAGCGCAGCCGTAGTCTCTAGGTCTGAATTTCACCCGAATGCCGCATTTTAGTGCGTTTGCTTCCCCCAAGCCCCCCCCCGGGGGCCTGCAGCTCACAGCAGCAAAAGTCTCCGCTCAGATGGGGAGCTGTCCTGCCAGAAGGGCTCCGAGTCTAACTACCTGCACAGGGGCTCCTCCTGCTGCAGGAGCCTCACGCAGGCACTACCACAGCCTAAGCAAAGGCTGGGGCTTTGTGTAGGTGAGCAAGCAGCCAACAGACAGGAGTGAGCGGGTTGCTGGGGGAAAATAAATCAGTGAAACCTTCCTCGGTCGCTTCTCCGCTGCCATCAGGCTGGAATATCCCCACGGAGAACGGAAGAAGCTGCCTGTGCCCTGTCGCCTCCCGGCAGGGACGGGATGTGTGACTCAGATTGTAAATTACTTTCCATCCTCATCCTAGAGAGGACAGAAACCAAACCGTTCGCAGGAGTCAAACTTCCCTGGAGAAGTACCTGTTTTGCGGGGGGTGCTGGCATGGAAATAGCGCTGCCGGCCGCGGCCATATGCTGCAGGAGGGACTCGCGTCGCTCTCAGCTACAGCACCCGGAGGAGGGGATGGCGGTGTGTAGGAGGATGCTGTCAGCGCTGAGCAGCTCTTACAGCTCTTCCCCGGCTCTCCGGGCGATGGCAGTAACACATTAACGGCACCGCAGCGCACCCGTGCAGCACCTCTGAATTCCTGCACCGCCAGCAGGCAGGAGTGGCTGAAAGCCTTTGGGACGTGCTGAGATCAAACCCCACGCACCCCTTTTAATCCCTTTCCCGCCCCCACAGATGACCACCGGAGCCTCAGTGAAATAAGGGAGAGCGCAGAGCTCTGTTTCTGTTCTGGGGCTCGGTGGTTCTGCCTGGCCACGCGGTGGTCTCGCTGACGGGGCAGCGATGCACGTCAACGTTAATACTCGAGCGTGAGGAAGCTTAATGTTCAAAATGCAGTGCCTGCTGTCATGAGATTCACTGTCACGAGGCGACTGTCCTGTTGTTTGCTTTTGCTGCGTTTTGGGGTTTCTTTAAATGCCGCCCCCTCCTGCTCTGAGAGCAACCTTCGGAGCTGATCTCTGCTAACAGAGGATGACACTCGTTTGGTGGCTCTGTAATGCATAAAGGAACATCTGAGCTAATGTCACCAGCCTGCGATGTGTGTATTCCTCCTCTGGCACTTCAGCACAAGTCACAGCTTGTTACCGTCCCTGGAGAGCTGCGGCTGGAAAGCACAAAATCGACATCCTTCTTGCTGGAAGACTCAGAGTTTTACCTGGGTGACCGCTTTTCTTTTAACATGCGGGTATCTTCATCCTTTCCGTCCCTTCCCACCCTTCCTATGCAAGGTTAGACTGCAGCTCAGAGCACGGCACTCCTCATCAGCCCGATCACAGTGTGGTTTTCTCTGTGCAATTAGCTAAAGTGTGTCTGGCGGGGGAAGAGCCACGGACGCGTGTGCGTCCTGGGTGAACCTGCGGGCAGGCTTGGAAGGGTGACAAACCATTAAATCGGCTGGAGCGTTACGGGAAGAAAGGACCGGTGGAGTGTCTGTCAAGGGCAGAGGTCTCGTAGTGGGGGTCAGACCACCTTCTCTCTGGCAACCTTGGGTTTAGCCTCTTTGTGCCCTGTGGGTATGTGCAGGAAGATCTCGCTGGCTGGGACTGCTGCTGGAGCCGAGGTGTCCGCTGGAAGGACGCAGTCGAATTCCCAATCTCCTTCCAAACTCCTGCCGGGGCTGCCTGGCTGGGGGAGGACAAGCCCTTCTCCCCGTTCAGGCTGTATTTTGCCCGGGCTCTGTTTGCCGAGTTCCCGTATGCCGGGAAAGCAGTTCCTCCTTGTTGTTCAGCAGCGGCTCAAAGCCCCTTGGCACCTTCCTCTCTGCCCGGCGTGTCGTGATGTTGGCAGCACCGTCCCACGGACGTCTCTCCAGCGGCTTCGCTGGGTGCCCTCAGCGGGAATGGCAAAGGGAGGGCGTGCGGACGATGTGGGAGCGAAGAGACGCTTTGTACTTGCGTACAAAGGGTCTGGGGAAAGATTCGAGTTAAATGCAGGGTGAGTACTTGTGCTAGAAGAGCGCAGATAGTGCACGAGGGAGCAGTGACTCTTTCAGTGTGAGTTTTATGCCTTTCTTGTTCCCGTCAGCCTTGGTCACGGGGTGTGGGCTGGCAGGCTCGTGTACCGACAGGTCCCAGCTGCAGTGGTATCGCAGGCAGGCAAGTGGTGATTTTCTCTGCCCCCCCCCTCCCCCCCTCTGATTCAGTGCGGAATTACTCAGCTCTGAGCACCAGCTCTTATTCGGATAAAACGCAAGACAGGTCAAATGACTGTTCTTCCCTCTTTGGAGGACGTCTGCGTGGTACCAGGTACGCAATGCTGAAATCTGATGGCTTGAACGAGGGGCACGTTTGATCCCATCCCAAAGCTCCGGTGTACCTCAGAGAGCCCAGTCAGCACTTAGACACGCTCGCTTTCCGACTGCGTCATTTTTGGGTTTTTTACGTTGCTTTGCCCTTCTGCTTTGCAAGAAGCGGCGTGCTTCGGCCAGGCTGGTGGCACGCTCTCCAGCCTTCCTCGGGGCCTCACGCTAAGAGGTGGTTTGGGAGCGCTGCTCCTTCAATTGACCGCTTGCTCTCAAAGCCACGTGCGTGGGACCTTGTTCTCCTTCTGTCTTAGCAGGTGGGAAGCTGTTCTGAAAGCTAACGAATTGTTCCTCGCTCAGGCAGTTCTTTGCAAGGCTGGAAACTCGCATTTTAACACCCGAATCCTTGGGAACAGGAGTGTCCGGCTAAAGAAACTCCTGCACCCTGTTCCTCCCAGTGCCCTGCGGAGTGCAGCAGTGTTGAGGGAGAAAATGATTTGTTTCCTTTCCAGCTTTCTAATAGCTTTGTGGTACGTTTCACTTAGACAAATCCAAGCCTCTCTTTCATCAGGACATTTAAACTGATTCATAAAGGATTAGTTTGGTTTGGCCCCACCTGAGAAAAGTCTTCAAAAATGACAGCTTCAGGCTCCTTGGGCTTTGGGATCGGCGAGCAGGCGGCTCAGAGCTGCTGCTTTTGAGCACCGTGGAAGGTGCAGAGCAGACCTGGACGTGACGGAGGAAACCTGAGCGTGTAGATTTTGCAGGTCTTGTGACAAATTAGTAATGGTGCCAGCGTATTTACTTTCCGCAAATAGAAACTCAACTGTAAATGCCAGAGAGCAGGGAGTAGCTTACCCCGGCAGCTGGGGGAGAGGTCCCCTGCAGCGGGCAGTGCGGGAGGAAGGCTCTGCACCCTACTCGCGCCTCTGTTTCCCCTTCGCCAAGTGGATGTGTCCTCTTCGGAGAGTTTTGTTTGAAAGGAGCTAACGGCAGCAGAGCATTTTCCTTGGATTTCTGCTCTGTCAGACGTGTCGTCGTCCCAGCTGGGGCTGTGTGGTGTGAGACAGACTGCTGAGCTGGCTCTCCTGTAGGACACTTCCCTTTCTGTAATAAGCAGGGGTAAAAGATAATCTTCTCTAACTATAAATAACACTTCTGTTCTGAAATGTCTTGTTCCTTCCCTTCCCTTCCCTTAGGTCATTAGTACTTGTGTATCCACTCCTTATCTGTCTCCTGAATTATTCAAGCCAGAACCACGCCTGCAGCCTTGCTGAGCTGCTCACCGTGCCAGCACCTTCTCTGGGTTACCTTGTTCAGTCACCCCTGAGCTTCAGCGACAGGATGAGCAGTCAGGGGACAGTTTCTTTCCGCTAGCCCATGTTCTAGGCACGATACCAGTATCCTGAGTATGCGGTGCTGCTTCTCTTGCATGTGCTTTACATCTAATTAAATGGCTTACTCGCTGACTGCTGGACCTTCAGTGATTTCTGTGGCCCTCCTTCTGTTTTGGCACACGAATCTCTCCAGGGTTTCTCCTGCATTCTTCCTTAAAACTGCCTGATGCTCAAGCAGAGTCCGGTGGCCGAGCTGGAGATCCCATCTGGAGCTGGAGCTGTCCTGCACTGTGCTGAGTGAGGGTGGGCAAAGCCCCTGCAGCTGCTCTTGCTCAGGTATACCCCTGTGAATAAATTTTTAGGGGGGTAAGACAGTCTTCCCCCTCCTCTCGTGACATCCTTCCTGTTCTAGGAGTGGCCAGAAATCCCTCCTAACCTGGGAGACCGAGTACATTTGTTTACTCAACCTTTACTAGAAGAGGGAGAGGCCTGACAAGAAAGCAGCGGGCAGGGAAAGCCGATGTCTTAAATAAATGAGTTTGCACTTTGAAATCATGCACGGTCCAGTTGCCGGGGCATTGTGTCTCAAGGCACTGGCACTAAGCACTTAATGACCAAGAATTTGAAGACTGCCAGTTGTAATAAAGGCTTCATCCCTCTAATGGCTTTTTTCCCATCCTTGGCCCCAGCTGCTCGGAGTGGAGTTATGTGAGGCTTTCCTTCCCTTCCCTTCCCTTCCCAGCCGGGTTGAAAGGCCTGGTCCTTGCTGCGCTTGACAGAAGCAGCAGCAGCCCAAGGGCATGTTTTGATTCAGTATTTGTGGGCTTTGATTCTGTGTTTTGATGGGTTTTTCTTTAAACTCTTGAGCCGTGGAGCGACTTACGGGGTTTTTTTTGTTTAGTAGAGTCTCAAACCCATCCTTGCTTACCGTCTCCCAAGTGGGCCCTACCCCAACGTGTGTAATTCTGCTCCTACTCCTTAAACACCGATGAAGACAGCAGGTTGCGTTACTGCTGGGGTGGTTTTGCTGTGCAGCTGCCTTTGAGTAAACCTGTTCTGTTAACGCTCGATCACTTCGTTGTGCCATCCCTGTGAATAATGGATGAGAGCCATAATTAAGTGTCCATGTAACTAACCTAAATATGAAGTGCTTTGCGGCATGTGACACTGCCCCAGACAGAGATGTTCACTTGTTTCTTTTTGCCAGACCTTGCAGGCTTTGGGAGAGGAGGAAAAAAAAAAAAAAACCTCGAAGCCAAAGTGCTGAAAAGCCCCTAAGGGCCTGTTGCGTGGTCTTGTCACCCTCTTCCCTGGGCCTTGGAGGGCAAAGTGGCTCTTAAACTCCTTGTGAAGCACTTCAAAATTACCACAAGAGCTGCACTGCTTGTTGGATTTGGTCTAACTGCCTGCCCTGGCTCTTAGGAAGAGTGTGAGCCAGGCCCGAGGATGAATTCAGCCTCTTGACTGGCTTGTCTCGAACAACTGCTGAACTTTCAACCTCCAACCACTTATTAAAATTAAAGTGGAAAACTTAATCTGATTGTCAGCAGTCCTGGCTGGTACCTCCCGCTCCTTCTCGACAGCGGGGTTGTGTTTCGCAGTACTGACATCATGGCGAGCCAGCGCGTGGTCGCAGACGGGGCAGGAACCGGGGAATTATTATTCTGAAGGGACGGGACGGGCTCTCGCTGGAGGTCGGGGGGGGGGAAACCAGCCAACGTCCCTTCTGATAAGGTGAGGTCAGCGCTGCATTAGCTACAGAAGCGAGGTGCCTGTTCCCGTCCAAGTGACGTTCCCTGCTCCTGTAAGGGATAGTTTGATCCCTCTGCCTCTACTGCTGTGGAGGGTGACTGAAGGCGTAAGGGTAGAGGTGACCTGGTCCTTTCTCCCTTCCAGGAAGAGAGGGAGAAGCGGCGGCTGGAGCAGCTGGAGCGCAAGAAGGAGCTGCAGCGCCTGCTGGAGGAGGAAGACTCGAAGCTGAAAGGGAAGTCGCCCAAGCAGGTCACTCCGGGCAAAGTCACCAGGGCCCAGATCGAGGAGACGATCAGAAAAGACCAGCAGCAGAAGGAGAATGCGGATACAGGTTTGGTGGTACCATAGAAAGGCCCTGACAGCGGGGGGGGGGGGGGGCCGTTTTCACCTACTGTCGCTGAAGGAAAAGGAGTTTGGAAAGCAAGGGCTGCCTGCAGCTATTCTGTGCTGCGTGCTTTGCTGTGTCTGTGTCTAACACCCAAATGGGGGAAAAAGAAATCTGTCACCTTGAGGGGGAGAAACAGAGCTGCAGAGCAGGCACTCTTCTCTTCCAGGACTGGGACTGAACGCTGGCTGAGTTTTCTCAGCACTTTCTTCAGAGTGCTTGGGAAAACGCTCCTCTGGGGGTTTTGCACAGGCTGGATTTGACCTTAATGTTTCTCCCTTTCCCCCCTCCCTGTGCAGTGGAGAAGGAGAAGACTCACCTGGAGGTCCCCTTGGAAGAGAACATCAACAGAAGGGTGCTGGAGGAAGGATCAGTGGAGGCCAGGACGATTGAAGATGCCATTGCCGTTCTCAGGTACGGGGCCGTATCGTAGCGGTGCTCTCCATTGAAGGGGTCGCTTTCCTTACGAGAAATTCTTGCAGACGCTCCCTCCCCCAGAACTGGCTTCTTTTCAAGCTTTCACTGTGAGTTTCTATCTCGACAGCAAGAACAGGACACGTCCCCTGCCCTGTTGTTCTGTAGAGAGTATTTGAAGTGGGTAGGGGAAGTATCACGGGGTTTTCTGCTTTATCACCCAAGTTATTCTGTATGCACTTGGTTGCACTGACAGGGGGTGAGAGCGGGGCGAGCGGCTGGTGCCTGCAGGGAGGTGTCTCTGATGCATGTCTCTCTGAATTCCCTTCTGGCAGCGTTGCCAATGATCTGGACCGGCACCCCGAGCGCCGGATGAAAGCTGCCTTCACAGCTTTTGAAGAGGTCAATCTGCCGCGCCTGAAGCAAGAGAACCCCAACATGCGCCTGTCCCAGCTCAAGCAGCTCCTCAAGAAGGAGTGGATGAAGTCTCCAGAAAACCCCATGAACCAGAGGCACAAAGCTTACAACAGCCAAAAGTAGAACTAGAGCTGATCATCCCCCACGGACAGTGGGCTGGAGCCCCAGGGCTCTGCTCGGATGAAAAGAGGAGACACGAGGAACCTCCTCTCCTTTTGTTTCCCTTCCCGCCCCCACTTTCTGTCTTTCTCTGTTCTTGGATTCAAGATAAGCACGAGGCCACGGCTCGCCTCGGGGACCCTGCAGCGTCCTGCCGTCTTCACTGATGGCCCTGCCCCCCCCCCCACGTGCTCACCCCTCCACAGGCAGCTGGTGCACAGCGACCTGGACAGACTAACACTACTTTCATGCTTCCGAATTCGGTTGTTGTCTTACAAAAAAAAAAGTTACTAACTCGCTTCCAGACCTTCAGCATGGGCAGCACTTGCGAGGTGCAACATCAGCACTGCCGCCTGCCGAGGTAGGGACCCCCTGCGCTGGCTAGCACCGTGCATTAACCCGCATTCATCCCTGTCTCTACCGTGGCTGCGCCACACCCTCGTGCTCTGCAGGGTGAATTTTTGCAACCGTCATGAGGAAAGCGCCCGCCCTCTGTTGCTTGTCTCATCCTCGGTGCTGGGATGTCCCCGAAGAGGTTCCAGGCTGGGACCGCTGTTGGCCCTGCCTGCTGCCGGCCACCTCTCTCCTCTTGATCTCGACTGGCGGTGTGTTAGATGGGGAGGAGGAACCACAACGGGAGCAGAATCTCTGTCAGCGCGGTGTTGTGGGGAAGAGAGAAAACAACCTTCCGTCTTCAAAGGGGAAGGGAAGGAATAACACGGCACAACGTGGCTCCTGCCTTGTCTGCGCAGGACACTGGTGCCAGACTTCTCTGTGTGACTTTCCCGGTGGCCTTGCCCAGAGCCTCACACCCTGCTGGTGCGACAGGAGGCTTCCTGGAGGGGCTGCAACCCTGCACTACCCAAGAACTGCCCCCAGAA